AAGACCATACTTTCTAGGCTTCATACCTTCTGCTTTACAATACCTCTTAAACTCAGCAATGCAGGGGTTTGAATTATGAATCCAAGAAATGACATTTCGAATATTATCAATTGTAGAACTTACCATACGTATACCTGATTTGATAATGAGGTTAATTATATGGCATGCACACCTTTGATGAAGTAAAACTCCACCATAATACGAGTTTATAAGTCCCTTCAACATTGATATCGCCCTTGCATTAGTTGTAGCATTATCTAAGGTGATAGAGATAATGCGGTCTCGTATACCAAAATCTTGAATAACACTAACAAGTCACTGAACAATATTGTCAGCATTATGTGAACAATCAATAAGTCTAAAACCAATAATTCTTTTTGCATATTCCATTTAGAGTCTAAATAATGTGCAACTACGCTTAAATAATCTTGATTCGTCCTACCACTCTAAATATCAGAGGTTAATGCAATTGAAAATTTTAATGCACCCATTTAAGCTATTAATGCAAGACGCATTTTCTCATAGTATGCAATCATATCACTCCTAGTAGTAGTTCTAGAAACTTTTTGAAATTGAGGACAATATGCACGTTGAATATGCGCTTCATAATGTGGGTTATCACCAAGATTAATAGGTAAATCTAAAGCAGAAATAAATCGACATAAAGATTCCCTAGCAACTTGAGGATTATAGGACCAAGTACTTACCGAACCATCCAGGTTTAATTGAAGTTGAGTTTGTGTAGGCTTCGTCCTGGCTTCATGTAGTCTAGCGCATTTAACTCTGTGATCTTTCAAGTGTCGAGTTCCACTTATAGAATTTGCGGTCAAAACTTTTTTACAATATATACATGTAGCTAATTTTATTTTCTTACCTCCAGCATCAATTTTCTCTTGTGTAGTGAAGTATTTCCAACATTCTGCATGTTGTCTCGCATGTTTTGTTGTCGTTGATGATGTTGAACCACTTGAACCCGTCGGTATTTCTGAGGGTTGATTTGGTTGAATATTGATATTTTGTGGCATGTCACCTACGTGGTCGCCCACCTCCATTCGTTGAATTGTTGCTTCTTCAATGTCTTGATCTTCCCTTCCATAGCAGTCAACACCATCAAGACTATACCTATATATATTTGGTTCAATTTTCTATTTCCTACAATAATAATAACAGTAATAAACATATTAATACATGCTAACACTAAAAATTAAATATTCACAATAAATTTGATATAAAAAAATTAAAACATTTATAATTTTAAAATTTATCAATACCTTGATTACTTGATATGGGTAATGGAATTGTGACTTGAAAATTGAAGTAGAGACTAGAGTAGAGATTAGAGAATCACCAAATTTTTTTTCCAACAAAAATGAAATAACAAAATTGAGAGAATTAATGTGAGTGAGAATTGAGATTGAAAAAAAAATTGGAGAATAAGAAGAGAATAGAGAGATTGAAAGTTGTGTTGTGTGAAAAAAGTGGGTTAATAGAAGGGATATTTATAGATAAAATTTAAGAATTTTGGGGAAAAAAAAAAGCAGAGGGCTGCAGCCCTATGCTTCAGACTCACTGCCGTGAGGCAGTGAGTCAGCCCAACGGTAATATTACCGTTGGGCTTGGCCGCTTGGACCAGAAACAAGTAAACAAAAACAAAGGCAAGAAACAAGTAAATAAAAAAAACAGACTCACTGCCTCACGGCAGTGAGTCAGTCCAACGATAATATTACTGTTGGGCTTGGCCGCTTGGGCCAGAAATAAGTAAAAAAAAAAAAGGGCAGAAACAAGTAAAAAAAAAAAAAAGCAGAGGGCTGCAGCCCTCTGCTTCAGACTCACTGCCGTGAGGCAGTGAGTCAGTCCAACGGTAATATTACCGTTGGGCTTGGGCCAAAAACAAGTAACCAAGAAAAAAAATTTAGGGCTTTGGGCCATTTCGGGCTATTTTTGGGCCGGGCTATTCGGGCTCTCCAGGCCGGGCTCAGGCTGCCTGCGGGCTTGGAATTATGGCCTAGCCCGGCCCTGCACTAGGGCTGGGCCGGGCCCACAGTAACGAGCTTCGGGCCAGCTCGTCTAGCCTGGCCCAAATTTTCAGCTCTAATGATGGTTGACAAAAAAAAGTCAAAAAGATATATACATCTTTACTATAAGTATAGATATACACTAAAGAGTATAGATAAGTGAAAATATTTAAGAAAGTAAAAAGAAAAAGTAAATGAGGTGTTTCAAGAGAAAATTAATGTAAAAACATTTTAATAAGAAACAATAGAAAATATAATATTTGAAAAAGAAGAAAAAAAAAGAACAACATTTAAAATATAATTAAAGAAAATAGAAAAGCTAAAAAAATATAATTAAAAAAAAGCTTAAAAGTAAAAAAAAAAAGAAAAGAAGAAAGCAAGCATATAGTTGAAGTACACAAGCTTAAAATAGGAAACAATGAAAAATACAATATTAAAAAAAAAGAACAAAAAAGGACAACATTTAAAATACAATGATAAAAAAAATAAAAAACTGAAAATTATAATTAAAAAAAGCTTGAAAGTTAAAAAAAAAAAAAAGAAAGCAAGCAAGCAAGTAGGCAGTTGAAGTACGAAAACTTCAACCCACCATCGGCTCTTCTTATACAGTAGAGTGAAACAATGAAAAGTACAACATTTAAAATATAATTAAAAAACTAAAAATATAATTAAGAAAAGCTTGAAAATAAAATAAAAAAATAAACAAACAAAAAAAGCAAGCCAGCATGTAGGAGTGTTCAAAAAAACAGAAAACCGATTGACACTGAACCGCTAAATCGATCGAAAAAAACTAAAAATTCGATTCCACGTCAACAAACTGACTAATTCAGCCGATTCAGTCGGTTAACTGACCTCCCATGGTTCATGGGTGGTTCAATTTTAATTTTACCAGTCGAGGTGATCAATTAATTGAAACGACCGACCAATTTTAAAAAAAAGTTATTATCCATATATTCAAACCTCTAATCTTGTAGATGGTGAATATAAGTCCATCATATTATTAAAAATGAACATTTAAAAGAAGTTAGTTCTCTCTAACTTGTAAGTTGTGATGGAGAAATGAAATACATAGCCCTTTATATAGAATAGTTGAGGGAATACATTCTCATATCTTTTCAATGTGGGACTATTAAAACTCTGATATGTTTAAAAATTTAAGCACATCAGACTTTTTAAAGTCCCACATTGAAAAGAGATGAGAATGTCTTCTCTCAACTATTCTATATAAAGGGCTATATATTTCATTTCTCCATCACAACTTATAAGTTATAGATGTCTAATTTCTTTCGAATGTCCATCTTCAATAATATGATAAACTTCAATATAAATAAGTGTTCTAATTGAGATTAGATATAAAGTCTTAGTCCTTAAGGATACATTCTTTTAGGCTTTATTTTTTTTGTCTTTTAAGCCATTTTTTCTTTTTAATTTTAACTATTTAAATATTAAATTTTTGAATGGTTAAAATTTAAGAAAAAAATAGTTCACAAAAATTTTTTTAAGTAAGAAACCGACCAATAAAAACCGATAAAAATCGATCGATTAACCGACTGAAATTGTCGGTTAGAAACTGATGAACACTCCTACCAGCATGTAAGCAGTTGAAGTAGGAAAGCGTCAATTCATCAGCTCTTCAGAGTGATATATATAAAATAAATATAAATCTCGCGTTGTTCACAAAAATTAATTAGTGAATTTGATATTTATTAAAAAAAATTAATAAATCATATTGCATATATAATAATAATATCTACTTTTTAAATTAATTGATAAACATAAACCTCATATTATGATTCAATTATTTTTCTTTGATATCATGTTAAACTTCCTCCTCCTCCTCTCTTTTAAAAACGTAGATTTCATCTTTATTGATTTTAAATCAAATTTCTTTCATAAATTATTAATTTTATGATATTTGTCATTTGTTTTCTTTTTTAAATCGAGCTGCACATTGACATAAATTAATAATTCGATAGAGATATTTGTTAATTTCATAGTGTACGGGTGTTTGAATGATAATTTAATTTAGAATGTAACATGAATCTTTTCGAAGTTGCATTGACACGTTGAGCTATGATATATAATTTATATATTAATAATATTAATTGAGCAAAATGTTTTACCAAATGGCATATATATGATCAAATGACGTAAGAAAATAATAATCGAAACATTGATTAAAACACACAATAATGATATTATACTAATATTTTTATCAGTCATTAATCTCTTATACTCTAGAGTGTGAAAAATGCTCAAAATTATTCAAAAGAAGGCATTCCTAAAATTTGTCTACAGTTTATGGTCTATATCTATAATTTATTAATCTATAATTTATATAATAATAAGAATAAGAAAGAAAACAAAAAGAAAAGAAAAACGAAGGAAAAAAGAAAAAGACCCTAATCTACAAGCAAAAAACAAAAAATGAAAAAAAAAACCTTAAAAAAAAAAAAAAAAAGACCCAATCCACGAGAGGGCGTAGTTTAACAGGTGGATACGCGTGTGGAGAGAAGAATCAAACACCAAATATGGCATATGGCCGATCCTGCCACGAGGCGATATCACAGAAGCAGTGATTTTAAAAATTTGGAAAAGAAAAAAAAGTTAAAAAAATATTAGGCGGGCGAAAAGAGGGTTCAGGATCCATGAACCACATGCGTGTCTGAAAAGGTATCAGTTTAAACTGGTCGTGTTAGAATCCTATTGGTCCACGTACGTGAGTCTAAAAAGCCAAACCACGTGGTCAAATTTAAGAAGGAGAGATGAAGAGTTAACGAGATGAACGGCGCCGATTGAATCCTTTCTATTCAGCAATTCGACGTCATGCCAACTGTACATGTCGGATCCTGCCCGTGATAGTGACGGGCAAGCTGCCCGTGTTTGGGATTGTGGGGCCCAGTCGAGGAAATTGTTTTTTGTTTTTCCAGTGTTTGGGGCGGTCGTATTCGCTTAGAAAAGCTTCACAGCGAAGCCATTTTATGTGTCTTTCTCAGCGTCTTTCAGAGATCCCCGTTATCTCTCTCTCTCTCTATACCTTGCGTTGCTTTTTAAAGAAGCTTTTGCTTTTTAAAGAAGCTCGTTTAGTTCAGAACCTTTTTGTTCAGTTCAATTCAATTCAATACAACTCGATTTCTGTAAGAGTCTTGGAGCGAAGAAGATTAGCTGTTTGGTCTTTTGAAGCTTTTTGTGGTTGATTCGTCGATTAATCTTGGGTTTATTTATGGCGGGAATTTGCTGTGGAGTTGTTGGAGAAGGTGAGACCTCGGCTACAATTGAGCCGAGCTCACGGGCCTTGAAGCGCCGGAAAATGGAGCTTCTAACATACAAGTTCATCGCCGATGTCGCCGCCGTGCCCGCGACGGCGGCTGTGGAGTTCTCCAGGAAGCGCCGGAAGCTGGAGTTATGTGCTTCGGGTTGTTCGTCTTCGCGCGGGTGCGATAACGGAGTAGAGAGTTCGGGAGCGAGAAACAAGGACGGAAGTGAAGGATCGCAAGCAAATGAAGCTTCGCGTTTGAATCTTCCGCTGAATCTGTGCGAGAACTCGGCGTTGGAGCATGTGGAGAACGAGAGTTTGCATCTTGTAAACCCTAAGTTTGGTGTGACGTCGGTTTGTGGCCGGAGAAGAGACATGGAGGATGCTGTTTCAATTCATCCTTGTTTCTCGCAGCAGGAAGGTTCGGTTCAAAATGGATTTCACTTTTTTGGAGTGTTCGATGGCCATGGTTGCTCTCATGTAAGAATCCAGGATCGAAGATTCAGTTTCTTGAATTTGTTTAAGCCGATTTCTTTGGTCCAAAATTCTAATCTACGGTTTCAATTCTTGATTTCTTTAGGTGGCGATGAAGTGCAAAGATCGGTTGCACGAAATTGTGAAGGACGAGCTAGAATCCGATAGAGCCGTGGAGGTTCAGTGGAAGGAGACGATGGAGCGTAGCTTCACGCGGATGGACGAGGAGGTCCAGGAGTCAAACGGCAGCGACAGGATCTCCAATTGCCGTTGCGAACTCCGGACTCCGCAGTGCGACGCCGTTGGAGCTACCGCCGTCGTCGCCGTTGTCACGCCGGAGAAGATCGTCGTCTCCAACTGCGGGGATTCCCGTGCCGTACTTTGCCGGAACGGCGTCGCGATTCCCCTCTCCTCCGATCATAAGGTGAGCGCGTCTTTTCAAGATCAATTTTTTTTTTTAATTCAACTACGAGATCTTTTTTCCTCTGTCATCGGATTATGCTAACTCGCGATTCCTATGTATTTATTTGCAGCCGGATCGGCCCGACGAACTGGTTCGGATCGAAGCCGCTGGAGGGCGGGTGATCTACTGGGACGGACCGAGGGTACTCGGGATGCTAGCGATGTCCAGAGCGATCGGCGACAACTATCTCAAACCCTACGTGATACCGGAGCCGGAAGTGACGGTGACGGATCGGACGGACGACGACGAGTGTCTGATATTGGCCAGCGACGGATTGTGGGACGTAGTCTCGAACGACACCGCGTGCGGCGTGGCCCGCATGTGCCTCCGAGCTCAGAAGCGGCCGTCGGCGCCGAGATCTCCGGGAAACAGCGGCGAGGATAAAAAGGACGCGGCTTTCGAGAGCTCCAATAAGGCTTGCTCCGATGCTTCGATATTGCTCACCAAGCTAGCCTTGGCCAGGCACAGCACGGACAACGTCAGCGTTGTGGTGGTGGATTTGAGGAGAGAACGTTAACGACTATAGTTTAGAGATATCAATGAAACAAAAATACTAATTATTATATAATTTTATATATACATAAATGAAAAGGATACATATGGGTAGGTTCTTTTTAACGTTATAATTGTAAGTTGTAGGGTTCCTTTTCCGGTTTAACATAATTGAGGGAAAGGAAAATCATCTTTTTCTTTGTTAGTCGGTCCTAAATTTGGTCCCAAGGCTTTGTTTTAAGCAAAATCAAAGAGGCTGTAAAAGAATCAGTTGTTTGGTGTCCATCGCTGTAGAAATTTGCAGGAATATGGTATATACGCTTGCAGGCTTTGTACAACAAATTGCAACTCAATTTAAATCCAGGAAATTGTGTTTGCTTAGTTGCATCAGTGCTCTTATTTCGTTTCATTTTCTTTCTTCTAATATGGTCATTGGTCCGGTCATATATTGACAAAAGCAACTGTTTTCGATCTTCTGAGCAAATGGTGTACTAAATTTCTTAATGAGATGATAGAGGACGTTAATATTAAAACATCTTGAATTAAATTTGGTGGTTTCAAAAAGTTTATAGAATAGATTAGGAGTGTTAATAAATTGAAATCCACGGATTAGAGGTGAATTTAGAATCAATCTAATACTATCAGATTAGGAAAATTTCAATTCGTAACTTTCAATTGGTGTCTAATCTAAAACTTGTCAGATTATTTTGCAGGTTGCACTCATGGACTCTGCGAATTATGATATTTACAAGTTAAAAAAGTACAATATTAAACGTCAAATGAATTTTTCATCGTTTATCGATATTATTACTTTAGAGTTCAAAGTTTATAATTTTTGGTTCGTTGTTTTAGAGTTTAATTTGGAGTAATATGTTAGAATGATTTTTTAATAAAGTAAAATTAGTAAAATAATCTTCTTTTATTTTTTATAAAAAAAAATATTTACTCATTCTTTATAAAATGAGGTCATTTTATAAATAAAAATTTTTAAGAAGTTATTTTACTAATAAAATTTTTTAAAAGAGTTAATTTTACAAAGGTTTCGTTTAACGTGACTATAATTGTTGAATTGAATTTGAATTATAACTTGAGTTGAACTTGTAATTTGAGTTTATGTTTGATTGTATATATTTTAGTTATGGTTTGAGATAAGAATCTTTTTGAGTTTGTGTTTGAATGAGTCAAAACTTAAATTTGTATTTAGATAGTATTTTAATAAAAATTTAATGTTGATGAAAAATTTTAATAGGATATATGGGTCGGGTTTTATTCTTATTTTCGTTGTCAACGCATAGAAAAAAAATCATCTCAATCAGAATTAAAACGAAAAAGTTATAGCATTTTTAAGAATAAAAAAAATATTGTTCATTAATTTGAGTTCAAGTTTCTGAACTCAAGTTAAAGGGAAAACTTGGGGATTGTTCTTTTGGAGTATAACTTGAGTGTAATTTTTGAGTTGAATTTGAGTTATAACTTGAGTTGAAGTTAGAACTTGAATAAAGTTGACTAAAATTGAATAAAGTTGAAACTTAAAAGAACGTGAACTTGAATAAAGTTGAAACTTAAGTTATTTTTTTTTTAGTTTTTTGGACAAAAGAACATGCCCTTGAACTCGAGTTTTAGTTATAAACTCGAGTTTGAACTCGAGTTTAAACTTAAAAGAACATGAACTCGAATAAAGTTATAACTCGAGTTTTTTTTTTTTTTTTTGAGTTTTTCACTAAAAAAATAAGCCCTTTATAACTCAAATAAACGTTGCATTAGTTAAAAAATTTAAACGTAACTATACGAATAATATATTTATGTAAAATATTTGTGAATTCAATGTGTCAATCTAAATTTTTTTCTAATTTAATCTAAAACATCATATTGGATTGAATTTAACAAATTAATTAGATTGGCGAATTTAATAAACACTATCAGCATAAAATGTTTTAGATCGTCATTAAATTGATTAAGATTAAGATCCAGAAACCTCATTGAATTATTGCATTACAGTCCAAAAGCATATTGATATTTGATCCTTTAGTTGAATAATTTGTTAGGCCTCCTATTACGTTACTCTATTGTAGGAAGAGGGCAGGAAGGGAAAATCGTAGGAAGCAAGGGAGGGAAGTGGAATTATGGAAAAGGGATCATGTGTCAAGTTAGTTATAAGCTTGTTAGCAAAGAGGTATTTAGACAACATGGTAGGGTGTGAGGGGTGTCTGTGAATTGAATCATTTTTCCGTTACAGACCATTGGAGGCTGGGGAACTTCAAATTCCCCATTGTTATCGTTTCTTATTTTTTTTTCCATTTCCTTGTAATTCTTTGTGAAAGGAATCCTTCCCTTGGAGGTTTGAAAGACAAGATTAATAAAATGAGCTTGTCCCATTTCAAGCATATTAAGCCTGTTTTATTCTGTTGAATTACCGGATTGTGCAGGAACCTTACATTTTAGTATCAGAGCAGGTCGATCCATGGCAAGCGCTTCCGACGAACAGCTTCCGACAGAAGAGTTGTCTGGGCTCGAGCAGATGATGGATACGTTTTATGAGGCGTTGCATATTGTGGAAGCTATGACGGAGCCACTCCTTAAACTCCAAGAAGATGTGGCTGAGATTGGCGTCTAGATGGGGGAAGTTCAAGGATCGGTGCAGCGGTTGGAGAATCTGCTACTTCGGCAGGCGGAGTTCCTCTAGCGAAACCCTCAACCTCCACCAAGGTTCGACGCTGGTCCTCAGCGGTTTCCTGACCCTCGCCGACCATCGCTAAACATTAGGCCGGTGCCGCCGCCTCCTCCTCCCCGCCATGAGGAGCCTCGGTGATTAACGCCCAAAAGTGATGTTCACAAGCGGTTAATTATAGCACAGAAGGGCGGTCGTATCCACAGAGAGATAACAAAATAACAAGAAAGATTAGCAAAATAAGAGTGTTAGAGAAAAATAAATAATAAGTGAATTAAAGAAAAAGAAGAGTTTTTGAGATTTTGTTGCAAATAAAATGAAAATGAGAAAATTTGTATGAAGGAAATTCAGTTGTAAAAATGGTAAAGTGTCGAGAATCTCTAATGCTTCGTTCACCAATTCAAGTTTTGATTTACAAAATAAAAGGACCGAATAAATTAAATCTCTATGTCGACTCCGAAAATATTATTATTACAAGTTATCCAAAATTGACAATATATCAATTTGACAATATTGCAGTAAAAGACAATTTGCAAAATAATTTGAATAACAAAACAATGCGTGACAGAATTATATAAGAAAAGCGTGACTAAACTTATACAAAAATTGGCACACAATATTTTAAAAAATAAATGAAAGATAGATGAGATTTAATTCATTCAGATATTGAACTTTACAGCACATGGAATCAAAAGCCCGAATTGGGTCACTGATTAGTGCATGAAAATGCACCATAAATACTACTTTTGATTTATATAATATTAAAATATTTAAGTTTTAATTAAGCAATTTCATTATTTTTATTCATAATATTTTAATTGAAATTTGTCTAGTTTTTGCTTAATTATTTACAGATAAAAAGTAGTATAAAAAGCTACACAAAAATGAGCCATGAAAGCCATGTTTTCAACCACCCGGAGCCAAGCCTCAGTCGAGCCGCACAAGCCAATCAGAGAGAGAGAGCCGAGCAGCTTAGCCGAGCCAACATCAGTCCGCATGGGCCCCAGCATTTCCAGCGTTTCCTCACTCTTCCTCGCGTGCGTCACCAGCACGTCCATCTTCAGCGCGCGCGTTCCCTCCACGCAGCTTCAGCGCGCGTCCAACTCCTCCGCAGTGTGGGTCCCGTTTCTGCAGCCATCAGCCGGCCTTCCTCTCCGCATGCGACAAGTGTCAAACCTTGTCCTCCACTCTGCCCGCGCCAGCACAGTCCAACCAATCCGCCCACGACACGTGGCACGTTTTCTCCTCACTTCCAATCATGTTGCGACACGTGTCCCCTTTGGTGCTGAATCCGAATTCCTTCTCCAAAAATCAGAGCAAATTACTAGATTTCTTCCCAAATCAAATATATGATTTCTCCTAATTTATGTGTAATTTTATTTTATTTCCTTTTCTTTTGTAATTTTCTAGTTTTACTATTTATTTCCTTATTTGACAGGCAACCTCTGAACACTATAAATAAAGGGGTTAGCCTAAGGTTTTAGAAAGCTTTTAATTTTCAGTTTTCTGTCGTCTTGCTGTCAGTCTCATATTTTCTCTCTAGAACTTGTGAGAATGTTTTGCAAGATAGGCTAGAGTTTTCTTGGTGAGGTTAGAGATGAACTTCTGTTGAGTGACCCAATTCGGGGTTTTGATTCCTTATTCTATAAACTCCAACATCTGAATGAATTAAATCTCATCTATTTTTCTATTACTTTTCAAAATATTGTGTGCCAATTTTTATATAAGTTCAGTCACGCTTTTCTTATGTAATTCTGTCATGCAATGTTTTGTTATTCAAATTATTTTACAAATTGTCTTTTACTGCAATATTGTCAGATTGATATATTATCGATTTTAGATAACTTGTAATAATAATATTTTTCTGAGCCAATATAGAGATTTAATTTATTCGATTATTTTATTTTGTGAATCAAAACTTGAATTGATGAACGAAGCATTAGGGATTCTTGACACCTTACCGTTTTTCTTCATACATATTTTCTCATTTTTATTTTATTTGCAACAAAAATCTCAAAAACTCTCATTTTTCTTTAATTCACTTTTCTCTAACGCTCTTATTCTGTTAATTATTCTTGTTATTTTGTTATCTCTCTGTGGATACGACCGCCCTTCTGTGCTACAATTGACCGCTTGTGAACATCACTTTTGGGCGTTAATCAGTCACTCAACAAAAGTTCATCTCTAACCCCACCAAGAACTCTAGCCTAGCTTGCAAAACATTCTCACAAGTTCTAGAGAGAAAATATGAGACTGACAACAAGACGACAGAAAATTGAATAATAAAAGCCTCCTAAAAACCTTAGGCTAACCCTCCTATTTATAGTGTTCAGAGGTTACCTGTCAAATAAGAAAACAAATAATAAAAATAGAAAATTACAAAAGAAAGGGAAACAAAATAAAATGACACATAAATTAAGAGAAATCAAATATATGATTTGGGGAAGAAATTCGGTAATTTACTCTGATTTTTGGGGGAGAATTCAGATTCAGCATCATAGAAGACACGTGTCGCGTAACGATTGGAGGAAAGGAATCAAATTGCCACGTGTCGCACGCGGAGTGGAAGAAGGGCGCTGGCATTGGAGACAACTGGGACCTGCTCAAACAGCTGGCACTGCAGAGGGGAGGAGCAGACTGCATGCTGACACACGGGACCCACACGGAGGAGAGCTTTCGACGCGCACTAGTGTTTGCGTGGAAGGAACGCGCG